ATATATATATATATATATATATACATACACATACACACATATTTCATTAAGAGATATTTTTTACTCCATTTACTTCTCAATCCACCCCATCAAATTTTGTTTCCACTCCAGTGGACACAAAGAGTAATTCACAATTAATATCATATCACTTAAAAATTAAGTTGCTATCACTTCTGAATGGAAGATAGATAATACCTTCATGAGAGATTTCCTTCCAGGGGTTTGGTGGATACATGAAAGCTGCATTCTGGATTTGGTCGTGTATATCTTCATCTTCGTTAAATGGGAAAGTGCCACTTAAGCTCACATAGATGATGACCCCGACAGACCACATGTCTAGAGAGCGATTATAGCCCTTGTTCCTTAGGACCTCAGGTGCTAGGTAGGCTGGGGTACCCACCACAGACCTCCGGAAGGACTTCTCTCCAATGATCCGGGCAAAGCCAAAATCACAAAGTTTCACCTGTTGACAATACGAGTTTGCAGAAATAATAATGCACTTACAATTATGTGTCTGTGTCTGTTAGCTCTGATCTGCTAGAAATAACCACAATATTTTACACAGAATGATATGCATTTCTCATGGCAGAAGAAATAATTATCTTCTACCTTTTTACGTACAAGGAACACAGTGGTGCATATATCTATAAAAAAGTATGTTTTCATTTACAAAAATTATAGTCTAAACACTTTTCCTTTCCCCCCAAAAGCTTGAAGACAAATGTGAAAATAGGTACATTAAGAAGTTGGTAATATTTTTCACAAGTCAGGAAAATATTATGCCGGTCAGGAGAGTGATGGACTTCAGGGCTTACAAGTAAAAGATGAGGGATAAGTAGAGAAATGAATCATGCCATCCATAATAATGCTCAAAATGAGCTCTGTGCTGGCACACAGGTAGCACCTGAAGGTGTCAGGGCTGCAAGGAAAGACAGCCACCTTAGGTCACTCAGATCCATCATTCCTTCAGGAGAGATAGAGTTGCTTTCCACCCCCTTAGTTGAGGAAGGGAAGAGACAGCTGGTAGCATCTCTGGGACTCTAAGGTGTCCTCACTCTCAAGGCCAGCATTTTCAAAACTGGGTTAGGCCTGCTAGTTCTGAAGAAGCCAAAGAACAGCCTTAGAAGGCACAGGTGTATGTTATTAAAGCCGGAGCTCAAGAAGCCAGCGATACAGCCACTGCCTAAAAATAGAAGGAGTGGATGGAAACCCACATTAAAAACATGAAACAGAAGTTCTGAGAGAAAAAGAAGGTAACAGGATGCCGCACGGAAGGTAGTGGTGCTATCAACTGGATTTGGGCTGAGAGGCTTTTTGACTTGCCTGAGGGAAAGGGTCAGCTGACGCTAGCAACACATTTTCTGGCTTGAGGTCACAGTGAACGATATTCTTAAAATGAAGATGCCGCAAAGCCACAAGTATCTATAAAAAAAAAGAAAAATCACCAAAATAATTTCATGTCATTCTATTAATTTCAAGATGTTTTCTATCAGGGCATAAAGTTACAAGGCCAAGAGAAAAGTGACAATGTCCGGTCAAGGCTCTTTATGTTGAAGTCCCGGAAATGGGCTAAAGTAATGTAGCAGGTTGCCAAGGCAACCTCAATGGAAGGAGTAGTATATTATGGTGCTCATTCAGCAGTCAGCACAGGTGTAGACAAAGGGTTTCAACATGAAACAGTGACACGCACACTTATATATTTTAATGAGCTAAGACTAAAGCAGTCTACTTTTCAAAATTTCAGGAACAACTTTAATGCACGGACCTGCTTACATGTCACTAATTTGGTGCACTGCACTCTGAATGACACAGTCAAACTCAGAAAACATAATAAGCCCCTCCCATCTTTTCTAGCATAGTGTAGAAGTACAGACTAAACAACAAGCCTAGAAAGCTGTAGTTAAACAGTGATAACATTTGATATTAAATATTATTTTTTTGTCTCTAATTGATTTCTTACCTGAGTAATTAAAAACTTCGTTATATGCTCTGGCAACCTGCCCTTTTCGCTTGACAAGATCATCTCTAGCATGTCTCCATGGAGTTTTTCCATAACAACAAACACTCTTTCAGGCGTCTCAAACATACACTCCAAATTTACAACACCAGGGTGATGAAGGTTCTATTAAAGATAAATAAAGCACTTGAAGAAAATGAGTTTTTTGATACTGTTTGGCATGCTCACTGATTATACAAAACTGCTTAAGCTTAAAGCTATGGAGAAACCCGCACTTAAGATTTTTAACACCTCTGAATTCCACATGTGCTGCCTTATATTTTTGAAATTCTGTCTCCGGAAAATATATCTTTACTTTCTATGCACAGTGAAATTATTTCTATGCTAAAAACCCAAGTTCCAGCACAGTGAATTGCTAATTAGGTTTTAATTAGAATACCATATTGAGAAATCTGTGATTTCTTAGGATCATCTCCAATATTAAACACACCACCCTAAAAAAAAGCATACTGGGCCATTTCCATGCAATTGATAAAAGATTAATGTAGAAAAGATGAAATTCATACACGGCATACATCTAACTGCACCGAAGAAGCACTTTATTCTAAACCTTTCTGGAGTTGCTCTGCTCTGGGAGTTTTCAGTAGTTTGTTACGGAAGCTCTGATACAGAGCCAAGATCATTATGAACACTGCAAGAAAATTATTATTGAGCCTTTGCTTTGTTCAGGACACCATGCTACATGCAAGGGTTTCGATCATTAAGCATTTTCACAATAAAGTAAGGGCTAGTAATGATAGGCAGCATTTTCTTCTCATGTTCACTGCCATTTAAATCAAGCAAAATTACTCTTAAGAGCTATATTATACCTTGTAATGATGCTTAAATCTGAGAGCTGTTCTGGGTCAAGAAAGAAATCCTTTGATTATTTGACCTACATGTATATATGCATTTATGTATGCACGTATGCATGGGTATATTAGTTTTTCTTTGTACAAGAGCGAGAAATCCTATTACAGAAATTATATTTCAATGAGAAACAAAAAAAATTATAAACAGAAATTATTTATTCCCTCACTCTTTAAATTCTGCTAACTACTGAACAATAAAAAAGAAAAGAAAAGATTTTGGGGGGAAATGATCTCATTGAATAATAAAATTATATATAGAATGTAAATGTTGCAAAGTACTTAAAGCCAGTACTGGTTCACGATTCACTGTCTTCACAGACGGATGCTGGCAGCCAGTGGAAGGTGATGGGGTGAATCTGCACTGCTGTGGTTTGTCCTCCTTGCTGCCCATTTTCCAGGAATGCTAGGAATCCACTGGATATAGAGCCAGGCTGGGGCCGGCAGTAGCTTTTATGGCGATAACACCTCTGGAGGTGTCCTCTCACTATTTTCACTTCTGCCATAAGCAACTGATGAGCCTTTTTTATAATTCTGCTGGTGCTTGATCATGGGGAGCAGAATGTGGTCGAGGAATGGCTAGTTTATTCCTGCTGTCTGAATAGATGATTACACATTTACCTAATATCCTTTCACTTCTTAAGGGCTACAGTTATTGTTCTTGAAATCATTGCACTATTAAATCGTCATATCTGAGTAGTTCAGATAAACCAGGCCTCCAAGTTAGCACTATTCTTACTTTATATACCCAACGGCCTACATATAATACCAGCTTTGCTTGTAGTAGTACGAGAATTAGATCCTGAAGTGGGAGACTACATGACATAAATATTTGAAGTATGGACTATAGATGGTAGCATTGCTCATACTGTGCTTTGTCAGTCTA